AGCGCGGTGGTGACTCTTGCTTTTGGGAGTCAAGTTAATCAATAACTTGATCTCCAATTTTCACTGCTACAATGTCTAAGGAACGTTAGTATAAGAGGTTATGATTATGACTTTATGGTTAAGCTTTGGAGGGCTTCTAAAGCTTTTCTTTTATGTGTTACAAGTTCTAAAGATTATGAAGACGAGGTTTTGCTGAACAAGTTCTGATGATCAGAAGAAAAGAAATTTCTTACAACCAAGTGCTGAAGACTCTAAATACAAAGTTTTGTGTGACAAGTTCTGAAGACTCCAAGACTTAGGTTCACCATTCAAATATCTGAAGCCTCTGATGATAAGAAGAAAGTTCAAATGGTTAATGTGTGATGTTGTATAAAAGTTACATAAAGTGTTTGTGACCTCTATCCTCTAGGGTGGCGTAAGGACAGTCCTTTATATTGTATTGTCAACCACTCTCATTGTGAACATTGGGAACAACCGAATGGATTTACAACTATCTTTCTTTAGTTAACGGATCTCTGTTTACAAGCTTAATAGAAAAACATTATTCAGAGAAAAGGTGGAAAACTATCATTGAACACTGACAAGATACATAAATATTATTTTATATTGTCTAAACTCTTACACCTTATTCTACTCGTTGGGAACTAACCGTTGATGCAGGAAAAGTCCTTTTTTTCCTCACAACATCTCTCTCTGTCAAAGGCTATAAAAGAAGATTGAAGATTAAAAGAAAGTTGATGTTGGCCATCAAGATTCATCTTGTGAAAGGAAAGTAGTGGATTCTAAAGATGTTAAAGTTGCGATGCTACACATTCAGAAGACCACTAAAGAAGAGAGAAAAGAAAGAAAGAAGATTTTATAAAGATGTCATATAACTATCATCATATACATCTTGATTGAAACAAAAGAAGCAAGGAGTTGTTGCTCGCAGCTTGCTCAAGAAGAAGAAGACTACAAGATGCTATTCAACTTCCAATCACATACATCTTAGTAGATCTCAGAAGAAGCAAGGAGTTATTTCTCGAAACTTGCTCAACAAGAAGATGAAGAAGAACACTACAAGACGCTACTCAACTTCTGATCATATACATCTTTGTAGAACATTATAATGAACATTAGAGTTGTTACTCGTATAGTGTCTTTGTTCAAATATCTTCGTGTAAATTGTATTAACACTTGAGTTGTTGCTCGAAGAAGTTTTAAACAATATGTACTAAAAACACTTGGGTAATCTTCTTAGAAGAAGAATTCATGTAAACACAAGATTACCATCAATTGTTGTTGATTGATTCCTTGGGAGACTTGGTGAAAGTCAAATCTCAAGAAGATAATGGCTACAGTCATTATAGGAAATTCTGATATGAGATCTTGCGGGATCGGGTTCTGTTAGGTCAATAGTAGTCATTTCTCAAAAGGGACCGAGTGAAGGTCTTACTCTTGCGAGATCATTGATGGATATCATTGAAAGGAAATCCTGTTAGAAGATCTTAAGGGATTACATTCTATTGGGTTAATTGAGACAACCGACTGGACAAATCATCAAGATAAAGTCAATGAAGTAACCATCGAACATTTTTTATCCTACAGGAAGGGAAAGGTAAACATCGACTAAACCTGAAAAGGGTGAAATCAAGGTCAAATGACCAAGAGATACGGGTAAAGAAATCTATTACGCGAGGGGAAAGTATTAGCACCCCACATGCCCGTAGTATTCTACGGTTTCCATTCATGTTACCTATCTTATGGGTGTGTTTAATATATGCTTATTGTACTAAAAGAAAATGCAAAGAGAGAATGCATGCAAAAGAAAAGAGAAAAAATGTAGGGAAAATAAAGTTGTGCTCGTTCGGGCCCTACCCCAATGCCTACGTATCACTTTTAAGGAATCAGAGCAGTTGTAGTTCGGCTCATAAGTTTTGATTTTTTTTGTCTTTTTTAATGAACAATATTAATTTTGCCTTCTGCCGCAACTCGACCTTTGGAGACTCACGCGCCAGCACATAAGTGAATTAACATGTTCTTTTAAAAAGTTTGAAAGAAGAGAAAATGAGCCCGAAGGCGAAAAAGAGTTTGCATTGGTTGATATTTTTTACCTTGAAGAAGGAGTTGAAAATTGATAGGTGTTTTATGATTTGTCAAGAAAAAAGAGTTTTAGTTTTAATGCAAGGATGCAAAAGAAAGAAAAACATCTAAGGGAAGCTAGCTAGAATCTAATCCCTAATGTTATCATACAATGATTGGTCCTATGGTTGAGTTTTGAAAGGGAAATCTCTACCCTATGTTAGCATGATGGATATCTATTTTAATGTCTAACTCGAAAGCTACTCTAATCGAGCGATCCTAAGGGAAGCATGGTATAACAATCAAATAAGCAAACAAGTGCTTTGGCAAAAACACATAAACATGAGTAGCACATACTAACTCAAAGGGATGGGGGAAACAAGAGAAATGATTTAGCTAAGGGGAGCGGATCACCCAAAGCAAACAAGCGGGAGACAGATGAAATAAAAAAGAAAAGAAATGCTTTAGCTAAGGGGAGCGAATCACCCAAAGAAAACAAGCGGGTAGAGAAGTATCAACAACGACCATTGCGAACTCCTGAAAAAGTGTGGGGGTTGGTTGTGAACCTTTCTCCACATGACCGACTGGATACACAAGATATGTACAACTCCGAAGCATCAACGCATAATGTGAGCTAAGGATACCAAGGACTAGAATGTGCGGAGGTTGATTGCGAACCCTCTCCGCTTGCCTCATTTTGAGGAATTATCATCTACAATATGATGCAGGCACAAATGTAAACACATGTGCAGAATACCTACTTCAAATGTAGGATTTTAAACAAACACATATAACATACAGAAAGCGGTGTCGGTTAGAGGTCTTTAAACAGCGACTTCGAGCGCACGCTCTTTATTTCCTACTTCTCATGATATCTAGAAAGCAGTAAAATTCCTACTTCTCATGCTATCTAGAAAAGCGGTAAAATACAGAATGATAAACCAGAGAAAATACCAAACGAATAAGAGTTCGTAGCACAACAAGCAAAGCAGAGAAACCCGAAAAACTTTGAGTAAGCTTCACCAAGAAATATATAAGAGTCAGAAATCAAATGCTCAGAATAGGCGTCGAAGCATCATCGATGTTAAAATAAATCACAATCGGAAACTCAAACATATCTGCATATCACACGATAAACCTGCATAAGACTCAAATCTCAACGAGAAAAGGTGAATCACACATCTCAAGTAACAAAATGATTACTAAACATAAACAACAATAGAAAATTCTAAAAATAAATCCTAGAAAAATACTATTATATTCCCTAAAAAAATAATTAACAATTTTTATTGTTTTTATTATTTTTGTTAACTAAATTTTAAGAAAATAAAAATATTAGAAAAAATCTAAAAATCAATTACAAAATAGAAGGGTGAGGGATCAGAATCAGGTGGTGTATTGCAGAAATCCAGGAGTGTGGGCTAGTAAGGGCGCTAGGGCCCAAACTGCAATGATCCAACAAGCAGCTCTTTTTCTTTTGCTACCATAGTTTCTAGTTTCACAAAAAAACGGTAATGGGCCTAAGGGTGGAGTTGGCCCAGTAAGCATCAACGTTGGATAGGGTTAGAAAGAGTGATTGTTCAACTTCCATGAGAAAGAGATCTTCTCCTCCTCCAAACGGCGCCAAAAATGGAATTTCCATCTTACATTTCTCTTGCGAATTTCCGACGCATCACCGTCTTCTGGTCCTGCTTCCTCTCGCTGTTCATCTGATTCCATTAACCTCTTCTTTGGTCGAACTCAAATTGTGACGATCCTCTTATTATGGCGTCATTATATCAAGGTTTGCGATTCAGCCTCGCTTTTCCTCTGATCAATCTGCGACGGGTTCAAGGACCTCTTCCCCGATCTGAATCAAACAATAGCGCCGCCTCTGGGTCTATCATAGAAGACTCATTCTCTCTTCAACGATCGCGTTAGCCTCCTTCACTTCATTCAGGTTTGATTTTCTTGCCGTGACTCTCATTCTTTCTTCTCTGAAATCCTATCAGACGCTAGGTGTTGTTGTTTATTATTGAATTTGCGCGAGTTTGATGTATTGAGGTTATGCCCATAACTTGGAAGTAAATGCATAGGTTCGATTGTAGATGATGAAAGATGATGATGATGAATTACGTTAGAGCTAAACAGGAATAAAGTGCGATGAATATGGATGATGCGCTGATTCGGTGGAGATTTGTTGATGAGGAGTTGCGGAAGATGACGATGGTGATTGAAGCTGACGAAGGTGATGATGATGATGTGCGCTGCAGAATTGATGTTGTATAAGATTGGAGGGAGCTATTGCCGGTGAATGAAGGTTGAAGAGAGAATGAAGAGTGAAGTTTCTGGTTTTTCTTGTATGATTCTTTAGAATGTGAAGAATGAAGCAGCGGGAGAGAGAGAGAGAGAGAGAGAGAGAGAGAGAGAGAGAGAGAGAGAGAGAGAGAGAGAGAGAGAGAGAGAGAGAGAGAGAGAGAGAGAGAGAGAATTTTCAGATCTCTTTTTGGTGATTCTCCAAGGAGTGTTGAAGAATGATGAAGATGAGGATGAGAGGAGGAGAGAAAGTTTCTTGGTGATTCTTCTGCAGAGATTTAAAGAATGATCTAAACTAAGGTGAAAATTCTGTTATATAGTTTATGTTAAAGTTTTTTTGTGGTTTGTCAATAAAAGTCATGAATGAGTGATCCCCTTTCTTCTTTGAATTTCTGTTATATATCCCTCTCGAAAATTTGTTAGCTCAGACTGTAAAAGCGGTTAGGAGTTAGTTATAGAGTTTGAAATTCTGTTACAAATTCAGTTAGGAAGTTAGCTTGAGTTAGTTAGAACTAAACTAAGGTTTGTTTATTTCCTCTGCTTTTTCTGTTAGTGTTGAGCTGGCTTATTGTTTCTGATATATTGAAATGCTATTGACCACCAGCGGAAGAGCCACAAGGCAATATGACGAAGGCAGTTTTCCTTCAAAAATGAATTGTAGCAATGCTGTAACGAGTAAAGCTGAGACAATGACCAATCCCTTTCGAACACCTCCAGCATGCCTTGTAACTAAACCAACAAGAATTCCACCAAGGGAATTCAAAATTATTGGGATCCAAGTTAGAGGAGTCCAACCATGAAAAGAATCCATGACGTCTTATAGCTTCCCCGTCTGGAGATTTCAAGGTACTGGCAAGCAAGCATGTACTTCCATCAATTGATATTTCTATAGTCATTAAGTATGATGAGTGTTTCTTAACATGAGAAGCCCATTGGCACAGGGAAGAAGCTATTCCAGATAGCACTGAAGCAATTAGTACATGAACTATTCCATTGATTAAAACTCGATCAACATTAGCACTAGTAGAACTTTTGTTAGAGCTTTGACCAACACTTAGTAAAACTGCTGTAACTAATAACAAGAACAAGGCTCCAATTTTTTGAATTGTTTTCTTTTGCCTTAATATGAAATATGTAAATAATGCAGTGAAAAATATTTTTGTTCTGATTTTTGTACAGGAACTGATTTTGAATGTAAGGCTGGTTTTTGTACTGATGCAAGACAGTTTTGTGAACCATTGGGAATCCTGCTAGACTGCTTTCGATTTTATGAATGTTTTCTAAACTGATTTCTCATGTTGTACCTTTCTGTATTTTAGAACTGAGACCAAGTTTTGGGGATTATTGTTAGGGACCAAGAGAAGGAAGATGGGCTAGATATTGAAGTGACCAATCATATTGGGCCTTAGAATGCTAAGACGTGGCAGGTTTATTCTAGAAGGAAAAGGGGATCTCACACCACGTGATAGATGTGAGGTGGAAGAGAGAGAATAGTGGTCCTAGCAATACCGTTAGACTGTATCCATAAATGATGGGGGAAGGGAATGGGAATCTCACCTTAGAGAATCATAGAGTAATCATTGGATAGGGGGCTGTTAAGCACTCCATAGGAGCATAACTCTGTGGCAGTTAGATCACTGAATCTTCTGTAAATTCCCTTTGCAATCATATAATTAAACAGTCCTCACTTTCTGTCAATCTTTATTCTTTGCCTTAATTCTACTTTATTCTGTTAGAACCTAACATCGGTCCAACCTACCGGATTACGATGACGGAGCCAGTGAATGCCACCTAAGAAAGTGACGGTGCCAGCGTTCACAAAAATGGAAGCTAGGGTCGAAGCTTTAGAGAGTGAGATCTCGGAGGTACGATCAACTCTCGTTGAGGTGCAGAATACAACGACAACAAACCACGCCAACTTGATAGCACTACTGGAAAAATGTTTGGGCAAGTCGTTGACAGTTGATGAAGAAAGCACGAGCGTCTTTAATAAAGGCTCGCCGATGGTGACGACAAAGGGTGAGCCAAAGAGTACCGTGGTTAACAACCTTCATCGAGATGCATTGACGAAGTTTCGTCAGTCCGTGAAGAAGGTCGAACTTCCGGATTTCTCCGGCGACGATCCGGCGGGATGGACATCTAGGGCGGAGATCTACTTTCGTGTTCAAGGCACAAGTGATACCGTGAAAGTGAGTTTGGCGCAATTGAGTATGGATGGGCCAACCATCCATTTCTTCAACTCGTTGTTGGAAGAACACCCAGATCTGACATGGGAGGAGTTCAAGGTGGAGCTACTAGAGAGATACGGTGGTTTAGGGGAAGGAGATGTTTATGAACAACTTTCAGAGATTCGTCAAAAGGGCACCGTGGAAGACTATATACAAGAATTTGAATGTTTTACGGCTCAGATTCCAAGGTTGCTTGACAAACAGTACCTTGGGTATTTTTTACATGGGTTGTAGGACGAAATCAGAAGTAGGGTTCGGAGCTTTGTGGCTATGGGACCACTTACAAGAAGTAAACTATTTCACGTCACCAGAGCAGTGGAAAGGGAGATGAGTAGTGGGTCGGGTTGGAACCGAAGTCTGAAAATAGGTGGGTCAAACCGGGTTAACCCGGGAGACAAGGTGGTACGGACTGGGTTTTTGTAAAAGGGAGCCAGAACAGTGGACATCATAATGGAGTTGGGCCTAGAGGTGTTAGTGGCCCAATTCGTGAACCCAAACAGGACACTGTAGATAGAAGGAAGGGGGTGCACGTGATAAGGGATTCACCCATTTGTCTTATCAAGAGCTCATGAACCGGAAGAAAAAGGGATTGTGTTACAAGTGTGGAGGCCCATATTATCCTCTCCATCAATGCCCAGAGAAGCAGCTCAGTGTCATGATTGTAGATGAAGAGGAAGGAGGGGAGGACGAAGGGAATTTGCTGGCTGTGGAGGTGGACAAATCGGAGGAGGAGAAGGACAGCGAAATGAGTGTTATGACACTGTTTTAACTAAAAGAGTCACAACATGACAAGGTTCAAACACTCAAACTCAGAGCAACAATCAATGGTGTACCAGTGGTGGTGTTAGTCGACAGTGGGGCTATGCATAATTTCATTGCGACGTCCATGGTGCAGAAGTTAGGATGGCAAGTAGAGACCACTCCAGATTTGAGAAGCAAGTTAGGTGATGGGTTCCAAACCATTACCAGAGGAAAATGTAAGCAAGTTTTATTCAAAATTGGGGAGGTTACTTGCGAAATCGAGGCGTATTTGTTTGATTTAGATGGAATGGACGTGGTTGTTGGTATGTCATGGTTGAAATCTTTGGGAGATATGATAGTTAATTGGAAGAAGCAAACAATGGAGTTTTGGCATGATGGTAAGTGGGTAATGTTGAGGGGAATAGAAGGTACGCCTGCAGCAATCCCAGCATTGCAAAGCATCTTAGGGAAGGCTGGAAAAGGGTATTGCATGAATGGATGGTCTCTAGATGCAACAGTTAGCAACACTGTAAGGCAAGCAGAAACCTTGGTATTGCAATATGATATGCAGGGAGTATTGAAGTCATTTGATGATGTGTTCCAAGAACCTAAGGGTCTTCCTCCATGTCGCTCCCGAGACCATGCGATCAATTTAATGTCAGGACAAGGCACAGTTAATGTCAGACCGTACAGGTACCCACACCACCAGAAAAATGAAATAGAGAAACAAATTAAAGAGATGTTAGAAATGGGAATTGTGCAACACAGCTGCAACGCTTTTTCGAGTCCCGTTATACTGGTGAAGAAGAAGGACGGGACATGGCGAATGTGTGTTGATTACCGTGCTCTTAATAAGGTCACCGTGCCTGACAAGTTTCCGATACCGGTGATAGATGAGTTACTCGATGAGTTACATGGAGCTCAATATTTCACAAGCTGGATTTGAAGTCCGAGTATCATCAAGTGAGGGTGAAACAAGAGGATATCCATAAGACGACTTTCCGTACTCATAACGGCCATTATGAATTCCTTGTGATGCCGTTTGGATTGATGAATGCTCCGTCCACATTCCAATCCTTGATGAACAAGGTGTCCAGGCCCTTATTGAGGAAGTTTGTGTTAGTCTTTTTTGACGACATACTCATTTACAATAAATTGTGGCAGGCGCATATCCTAGAAGTAACCGAAGTGTTACTGATTTTGAGGAGACACAAACTAGTTACGAATAGAAAAAAGTGTCGATTTGGCCAGAAAACTGTTGAGTATCTCGATCATTTGATCACGGGAAATGGTGTAGCAGTAGATCCCACGAAGGTGCAAAGTGTCATTCAATGGCCTATACCTAAGAATGCTAAAGGGGTGAGGGGATTTCTAGGCCTTACGGGCTACTATCGCAAGTTTATTAAAGATTATGGGAATATTGCCAAACCATTAACGGAATTGACGAAGAAGGAGGGGTTCAAATGGGGGCCTCAAGCTCAAAAGGCTTTTGAAGTATTAAAAGAGAAGTTGACAACAGCCCCAGTACTCGCATTGCCTGATTTTAAAAAAGAGTTCACAGTAGAATGTGATGCCTCCGGAGTGGGTTTAGGTGCAATCTTAATGCAAGAGAGAAAGCCCATTGCTTTCTTTAGCAAGGCTTTAGGAGGAAAGGATTTGGCTAAATCTGCATATGAAAGGGAGTTAATGGCAGTAGCTTTAGCGGTGCAACATTTGCGTCCTTATTTGTTGGGCAGACATTTCACTGTGACAACAAATCAAAAGAGTCTGAAACAGTTATGGCAGCAGAGGATCACGACTCCGGATCAGCAGAATTGGGCTGCTAAATTGCTCGGTTATCAGTTTGATATAGTATATAAACCGGGAGTGGAAAATAGAGGAGCTGATGCTCTTTCAAGGTTATCCGAAGGTGAATTATCGTCTATGGTTTTGTACCCAATATGGGAGGAAGGCAAAGTGATACAGGAAGAAATCCACCAGGATAAAGTTTTGCTAAAAATCATAGAGGACTTGGAGGAGAAACCAGATTCAAGGCCAGGATTTAAGTACAAACAGGAAGTGCTATTCTATGAGGGGCGTTTAGTGTTGTCCGCACAATCTTCGTTAATTCCTAAGATGTTGGGTGAATTTTATGTTACTCCGGAAGGTGGGCATTCCGGGTTTTATCGTACCTACAGACGTCTAGCTGCTAATGTATATTGGATAGGAATGAAAGCAAATGTGCAAGCTTATGTGAAGGCTTGCGATGTGTGACAACGACAAAAGTACTTAGCTGCCACACCTGGGGTTTATTACAACCTCTGCATATTTCGTCAGCAGTATGGGAATAGGTCTCAATGGATTTTATAACAGGATTGCCGAAATCTCGTGGGTTTGAAGCGGTGTTTGTGGTAGTTGATAGACTGTCAAAATATTGTCACTTCACCCCCCTCAAGAGACCTTATACAACAAGAACAGTAGCTGAAGTTTTTGCAAGAGAAGTTATACGACTTCATGGTTTACCTACAACAATTGTTAGTGACCGTGATCCTTTGTTCATTAGTAATTTTTGGACTGAACTTTTCAGGCTGCAGGGTACTACTTTGAAGACGAGTTCAGCTTATCACCCGAAAACAAATGGCCAAACGAAAGTTGTCAATCGATGTTTGGAAACTTATTTGAGATGTTTTATTGCGGACCAACCAAAATCTTGGCTATCTTGGATTCCGTGGGCAGAATTCTGGTTTAACACAACATTTCATGCGTCTACATGGAGCACACCTTTTGAGTTAGTCTATGGAAGGAAACCTCCAATCATTACAAGACTCTTACAAGGTGAAACAAGGGTGGTTGCAGTTCAAAAAGAGTTGGAAGAACGAGATGAAGCACTCAAGCAGCTTAGAGCTCATCTCCAAAGAGCTCAAGAACGCATCAAGCATTTTGCAGATAAGAAGAGGACAAAGTCCAGTTTTATTGTTGGAGAATGGGTGTTTTTGAAGCTTTGTCCACACCGGCAGCAATCCGTAGTCTCTAGGATTAATGCGAAATTGGAAGCTCGATATTATGGTCCGTTTCAGATTGTGGACAGAATTGGAGCGGTGGCATATAAGCTTAAATCACCGGATGGATCACGGATACATCCATTTTTTCACGTCTCGTTGTTAAAAAGGGCAATTGGAGACTATGCAGTAGAGAGTGAATTGCCCCAAGAAGCTGAAGGGAATTGTGTGGAGCAGTTTTTGCCTGAAGGAGTGTTAGCCACACGTTTCAATGGGTTAGGAAAACAGAGAGTTAAACAAGTTTTAATTAAGTGGACTAACAGAGCTGTGGACGAAGCTACTTGGGAAGACATGGAAACCATAACAAATCAATTCCCTGAATTTAACCTTGAGGACAAGGTAGTTTTTCTAGAAGGGGGTATTGTTAGGGACCAAGAGAAGGAAGATGGGCTAGATATTGAAGTGACCAATCATATTGGGCCTAAGAATGCTAAGACGTGGCAGGTTTATTCTAGAAGGAAAAGGGGATCTCACACCACGTGATAGATGTGAGGTGGAAGAGAGAGAATAGTGGTCCTAGCAATACCGTTAGACTGTATCCATAAATGATGGGGGAAGGGAATGGGAATCTCACCTTAGAGAATCATAGAGTAATCATTAGATGGGGGGCTGTTAAGCACTCCATAGAAGCATAACTCTGTGGCAGTTAGATCACTGAATCTTCTGTAAATTCCCTTTGCAATCATATAATTAAACAGTCCTCACTTTCTGTCAGTCTTTATTATTTGCCTTAATTCTACTTTATTCTGTTAGAACCTAACAATTGGCTTATAGTGAATCAGCTTGAACAAGGAGCCATGTGTATTGAGAGACCATTGAAAGCATTTAGACCAGAAAAATCGATGAGGATCATGCTTTGTTTGAAGATCAGGATAGGACTTAGGAACTTATGCATGAACTTAATTTGTAAAACCCTTTTCTTTTGCCAAAAGTTCCCCATATGTAATGATAACATGAAGGTTTTTGAATGTAATTCTTTGTAATGCCTCAGGTGTAATGAAATTTGGACTTGGAATAGATTCTTGCATGGATTTCCTTTTGAGCAATGACAATTGACGTTGGACTTTTGAAATGATGTGGTGAAATGGTTAGAAATTAATTTTGTATTTTTTTGTCTTGCAATTTGAATGATTTTGAACTTGAATGAAAAAAAACGATGATAAACCCTCAATGGGTTTGAAATCGTATTGAACCTCAAAAGTTGGATCAATTTGCTCAGCCTTTTCCAAATGCTTGAATTCTTGAATCATGAACATTAGATACTGGTATTTCTATTTAAAAATGAATGAACAAATAGACCCATATGAGAAATTATAAAGGCCTTGAACTCAAGTAACTTGCATTTCAAGAAACCCATATTAATATTCTAACCTTGCACTCTTGAATAATCTCTCAAGTGAATGTTGATATCATCTGAAATCCATGAACAAAAAATTTGAATAATGCTAATTGATCACTTGATGCGATTATGAGACTTATGATATAAGGAACCAAAAGTGTCCAATTGAATGAGTCTTGAACGACAAGCTTGAATATGATTAAATGACACTTGAATGAGGTCATAGATAAATATCTCTCATACGCAAAAAGCTTTGATCAACGTCTTGATAAATCTTTAAGGGATAATAGCCGCGAGAAATAAATCTTCAAAGCCGAAGAATCAGAACCCTAATTCCACAACTTCACTGCCTATAGAAGACTAGCCGAGAGAATCAGAAGAAACCAACCTTTATTTGACATGCACGACTAATCGTTGTAAAACTCTGATATTGCTACTTCACTGGTCCTTTGAACCCATGGTACTTTATTGAACAAAATGTATGCTATGTTAGTGACCTAATGGAATATATGCGAATGCAACGCTAAGCTTAATTCAAATAAAAGTACAATTACGAGGACAAATTTTGGGGTGCAACAGTTGCCCCTATTTAATCGTCTTAAACCTGAAGGTGAGATTGGTGCCATTCTTTCGAACTTTAAAGGTGGAAGAAGATTAAATACTAAAAGAACCCAAAAATATTCACTTCGAAGTCAGTCAGGTATTATTATATTTTTTGGCTTTCTGTATTTTTGTTTTTTTTGCTTTTTTAGGTTACAGTGGTTATCTAGGTAAATATCTTAGATGCCAGGTCAAGGTTAGACATACAAGACAAAGATTGGATACTCAAGAAAAAGATCCACTATAGCGTATTTTAACAAAGATATCTAACAAGAAAGAGACCTAACAAAGCGGGCTCAATCGAAGATGTCGGGAAAAGATGGGATCTCACAGTGCTTTCACCCAAAGATAATAGAGATGGATGAGACCTAACAAAGCGGACTCAAATGGAACTATCAGAAATGGAAGGGGGAAGAGATCTAACAAAGCAACCTCAGCCAGAATACGGAAGAAGGAAGAAATCTAACACAACGATTCCAACCAAAGATAAGGAGAGAATTAATCTAACACAACGATTTTGACCAAAGGTAACAAAGACAAAAAGAGACCTAACAAAGTGGACTCAATTGATGACATCGAAGAGGGAAGAGATCTAACAAAGCGATCTCGA